CATTTCTCAGTTTACCCCCTAACCTTTAATTTTGCTTACTTAAACCCCTTTAAGACAAAATTGCCCTTACATTATTTTGACTTTTCATTTATCTTGTTTTCCTTTCTTTTATTTTTTTCTCTTTCTTCTTTATTTAATTCTTCCTCTTTCCCACAAAAATCTTCACCTTAATGATTGAAATTAAAAAAGAGAAATTGCAGAAATCTATCTTCTGCTTAAATGATTAAAAAAATATTCAAATCACTTTCCTAAAATACAATTTTTTAGCCTTTCAATTCTTTTAATTTTGGATTTTCCTCTTTTCTTTCTAGTTTCTCATTTTATTCTCAAGAAAATATCATAAGATGAAATTGTTTTCCTTTCTTTTATTTCTTTCTCTCTTTCTTCTCTCTTTCATTCTTCCCAATAGAAATTCCATTTCAACGAAAATTTTTGTTTTGAATTTGTAATTGCATATTTCTGGGTGAAAGTTTAAAAGGCATTAAAAACTAATTTTGATTTTTTGTATGATGCCACGTGTCACAAATTTCAATTGATGACTATTAATCAGGTCACAATTTCATCTTAAGATATTTTCTTGGGAATAAAATGAGAAACTAGAAAGGAAAGAGGAAAACCCAAACTAAAAGAATTGAAAGGCTAAAAAAATTGTATTTTAGGAAAGTGATTTGAATATTTTTTTAATCATTTAAGGAGAAGATAGATCTCTGCAATTTCTCTTTTTTAATTTCAATCATTAAGGTGAAGATTTTTGTGGGAAAGAGAAAGAATTAAATAAAGAAAAAAGAGAAAAAGAAATAAAAGAAAGGAAAATAAGGTAAATAAAAAGTCAAAATAATGCAAGGACAATTTTGTCTTAAAGGGGGTTAAGTGAGCAAAATTAAAGGTTATGGGGTAAACTGAGAAATGAGGTATTCTTTAAGGGGATAAAATATAATTAACCCTTCTTTCAACCATACTGGTTGCTTCCTCCCAGATCTGTTAATAAACTCATATAATTCCAAATATTAAGGTGAGATTTGATAATATAAATCTAAAAAATTTCAGATCTGACAACTAAATATAAAAAAAGCCTTGTTTGATAATTCAATTTAGTACTTATAGTTAATGAATTTATATCTTAACATGTTCAGACTATTGATAACTAAAAATTAAACATTTAAATAAATAAGTGGCATATTGAGTTTTCTAGGCAAAACTTATTCTAAAAAATAAGTGATGAGTTGTTTACTTATCACTTAATGTGATATAGATTCAAATGTATCATATTTAATATTTTTTAATAATTCAATAACTTAATGAATTCAAATTTTACATTTCGCATTTCAGATTTTAATTTTATTAAACGCACCCTTGAATCTAATACAAGAAATATACTAACTAGTTACGTCAATTGGGCCATACGTTACATTTGCAGAAAAGCGTACCTCACATGGACTATAAGTATTTGGACATTTTCAACGGTACTCAATGGGCAATGGCTTTCTTTAACACATTTAAATCACACCTAACCTATCATACAAGCATAGACCAATAATTATTACTAAAACAAATAATTACATAATTATTACTCTCTATTGCATTTATACACTTCTCTTAATCAACTTTATTTTTTTTTCAAAAATTTAACATGTGAACTAGTGTAAATAAAATATTCAATTGTTGTAAAGCATTCTCTTTTATTTTTTCCTTTCCTTTAGAATTAATTTTTTGAATTTATTGTAACAAATATAGTTCTTCTATATTATACTCCTCAGTCCCAATTATTTAGTTATGTTTCGGGAATCCAACCTTTTAAAATAGTGATTTGATTGTGATGTTTGTACTTCTCTTTCCAATTTTACTCCCCCACAAATTTAAAATTTAAATTTAAATGATAATATGCATATGACTAGAACGAAGGGCTATATTGAAAAGAACTACTAAAAAATTTTTTGACTTTTTTAATATGACAAATATTTTGAAATATTCCAAAATGAAAAATATAATACTTTCAATGGACCGATAGAGTATAATCCTTGCTTAACCATTTTAATTTCTTCACTTAATTCATTTCTACGGACTTTCCAAGTTTTAATGCCTGAGTTGAAGCCGTACAATACAATCAGCTTAAAACTTAAAAGCGTGGTATGGCGGTGTACTAGACAATCAAGAAGCTTTCGAACCTCAAAGGCGTGCTTTTCAAGCTGCTCCTTTGCCTCATTGACTCACCATAATTTAATGCGTCAAAACAAGCTGTTTTATGCCTCCTCTTGTGGTTAGAGCTGTTAAGTTAATCGAGTAGCTCGAAAGCTCGTTAAAGCTCGGCTCGTTAAGGCTCGAACTCGGCTCGTTAATTTTGGTTAACGAGTCGAGCTCGAACTCGAAACATGCTCGTTTAGTTAACGAGCCGAGTAAGCTCGGCTCGTTTGATACTCGAGTAGCTCGTTAGACCTCGTTAATGAAGGGCATATTTGTCATTTTAGAAATCAAAATTATAAAATTTAAAAATTATAGGTTTTTATTAAGGTTAATTTGCACGAGTTCAAGCTCGAACTCGTGAAGCTCGACTCGTTTGTGATAAACGAGTCGAGCTCGAGCTCGAACTCGAGCCACATGTACATTTAACGAGTCGAGTTCGAACACATTTTAAAGTTCGTTTTCCTAACGAGCTCGAGTCGAGCTCGGTTCGAATTAAACTCGAGTCGAGCTCGGCAGCCAAATACTCGGCTCGACTCGGCTCGATTAACAGCTCTACTTGTGGTGAACTGAAGGCGTGATAACAGCATTCTTCCAATAATGTTTCCAAAACGCAGATATGAAACAGACAAAGCGGCCGCCGCCGGCTTTGTCGCCGTCGACGACGGTGACATTAAGCTCCGGTCTTCCTTGAGTGAAGCCACCATAGTCAACTGCCCCAGATTAAAAGGTTTAGCTCTAGCTGTAGAAAAACCAGGCTTTTTCATCCTCGACTACAACATCCCCAAAAAGGTAATTCCTGTTTCCTGAAGAATGCAGAAATCCACCCGCAAATTAAGTTTAGTTGTTGATTGTAATAAATATTTGGGCATTTTCAGGATTTTAGGTTTCAATTTGTGAACACAGTTAGGGTTTCGGAGAAGCCATTGAACTTGACGTAAATTCACAATTGGGGTGATAACGGGACAATTTTGGATGGAACTTTTGGTGTTTGATTCTGCCAATTAGGTATCGGCTAATCACGTGTTGCGGTCGGGGAATTGTAAGTTGAAGTACACTTACGTCCATGGTGGCCTGACCACTTTCAAGCCCAGCTATGATTTTGCCAAAAATTCGTGGGATTTTGCTATTTCGGGTACAGTTTATGGCGGTGATGTGTTCAGGGCTGGTTATCAGGCCTCTGAGTAAAAATTTGCGGGAATTCAAAAATGAACGGCTCATTTAAGGTATCACGTTGCCATTTGTTGTTTTGTTGGCTGCTATGTTGTTGATCTCTATGAAGAATTTATGGATAAGGCTTGAGCTATAGTGATTTGGTTTGAAGGCAGTTTGATTTGAGCTATAGTTTATGGATAAGGTTGTGATTCAGTTGCTGAATCATGAATCATCATATGGTGAATCAAAATGCCTACGGCTTTCGTAAATCTCAGTTCACAATGCATTTGCATCTTAGGCACTGTTGTTTTGGTCTCAGTTTTGTCCTGTATTGAGGTAGGAAAGTAACCCAACTAAAATGCTGCCACCTAATGCCATTTGAACAAACTTGTTGAGGAGTCATATAGTTCTTTGAATGCGTTTTAGTGACTGCATTTTGCCCTGGGTTGGATTCTGGTGATGTTAATATGTAAATGATATTGTTGGTCATAAATGGCTTGATTAGTTGGTTTTTCCAGTTTTTTCAGAGATAGGAGAGTTGTTGAAGAACATATGTTGAAAGAGACATGTCAGAAATTTCCACCCCCACCGGGAAAGTGATATATCAGCTACTTTGTTGCCTTGCCTCCCAAGAGCACATGAGCTAATTACTCAACACAGCTGGAGACTGAATTACTCACGAGGTACACAATTATGTAAGATGCTGAAAGTCAAGAAGGCTCATTTATCTTTTCTTGACAAGCTGCAAATCCGTGGATATACTCAAATATCTTGCTCCTGTATAATTGTTTTTACCCTTCAAGTTTGAAGGGTAGCCTTATAAATTGTAACCATTTGCTGTTGTAATTTATTGCCGTAAAATACCCTGAACTCCATGATTGGAAGCTTTTGAACCCCACATATGTCGATATTTATTTCTAGTGATAGCAAATTGAATTTTTAGTGAAACTCATGGCGGTTGACATGGTGTGCTACTAGTTGTCTAGACCACAAACATGAATGAAAATTGGAAATTCAACTGCTGAATATTGTTTTTAGTTCATCATAGCACATTGGACATGTAAATGGGACTATACTTGGATAATTGTTTTGCATGGGATTGAGAGTGCGTGATTAATGAAGTGGCTTCCAATGACTCTTCACTGGCATTAGAGATGACACTTTCAGCTTTCAAAACAAGTTCATCTTCAACTTTTATTGTAGTAGTCACCGGTTCTCTATGCAGGGCTGAGATTAGATGTCCTGGTCCCTTTTGCTGAACCATATGCACTTAATACACATTTGTATACCCCCTTGACTCCTGTTTCTGATTATTCAAATTTCGTCACTCCAGCAAGTTGAACTGTACCCGTTGAACTTTCTGACTTTCGACTGAATCTATGGCAGTAACTTATGCAAGAAAACAGGATCAGTTTAGATTAATTTGACCATGTAACTAATTTTCTCTTTGTAAGTCTAAGTAGATTTTGGAGTAAATTACAGAATTTTGCTTGTTGTGCTGTGCAAGATAACAAAGTCATAGTTGGCTTCCATATTAGAGCAGAATAAACACTTGGTTTTCCAGGATGTTCATGAATCGGCTTTGTAAATGAAGATGAATGCCTGCTCCCTTGTCAAGAAGTGGACAGGCTGTTTGGTAGCTCAAATTAATCAATTTAAAGGTCTCTCTTTTTCTCTCTCTCTCTAGCATATATATTTGTGCCTCTGTGTGTTTTCAATGAATTCTTCTACTTGGAAGTAATGGTTCTGACTACAAGACAAGCATTGGATGATTTACCAGAAGTCTGATGTTTGTAAAGTGCTTCTGTTCTCCGCAAGATATGATATTTGCCACTTAGAATTATCGTTCTACAATAGATTGTGTTAGTGATTTTTGTCATGTTTAATGTATAGCACTCGTAAGAAATCCGTTTGATCACTGGAGTAATCATTTGATGGTAATTCAGAACAATCTCTAGTGTTTGCTGAAGTTGAGTTTTTAACTCTTGAGGGAGTTTACTTTGTGAAAAATTTCTGCATGCTGCAGCCTACTTTGTGACATTTATGCATGCAACAGGCCCTTTACACGCCAGTGGAAGATAAGGAAATAGACCCCGCAAATGATTGCATGTTAAGAGATCCAAGCACCTGTTTCGATTGCTATTTTTAGGAGTTTTTCTAGAAAAATATATATTGTTTACGATTGATGTCTGTAAGGTTAAAAGGCAATTACAAAATGCATTAGCAGAAAACGTAAAAAATTTTCTAAGAAAATTACAATCCAATTGTTTGTTTAATTTCATGATGCCATCTTTGGGATAGTGATGCAACACGCACGCACAGACAGACTCATTAAATGTGGAGTAAAGTTAACAGGTAACCCTCTGGAAATCTGCTGACTTGCATTTACTCTCATTCACCACCTAACACTGTCAGTACATTTACTAATATGTACCAGACCTGTAAGAAAAAATAAAACAAATAAGAGAGGAACAATTAGAACAAGGACATAATATATACAAAATGATTTCATGGTAGAGATATATATATAACTTGCATCTGTCAATTAACTTCAGAGTACAGAAAAACATTTTAGTTTTCCCTACTCTTTCTGCTTGGTACCATGCCATTGATCGCAAAGGTTTTCGTTTTGGCTTTGAAGTTTCATTTTTCAATTTTACATTTTTTGTTGCTTAATGCAGTATATGTCCGTCCTGAATATACTGAATGTTTATCAGTACTTGAATGCTAGTTTCTTCTCAACCTGACATTGTGCAGTACCTTTTCTGCTCATCTGATGTGGCACAGAATGTTTACTTCTAGAGTTCAGAGAAAAAAGTAACCAAGTAACTGTTTCTCTTGATTTCCTGGCAGAAAACAGTGGTGTCAGTGGATCTACTCTGTTCAAAATGCAGAATGAAGGTCATGAGTTTAATATCAAAGCTAGAAGGAATAACTTCTATTGCCCTTGACCCGTCCAAAAGTACAGTAACAGTTATTGGGGAGGCTGATCCGGTATGCATTATCAAACAAGTCAGGAAGTTCAGTAGAACTGCACAATTAACAAGCATTGGTCCTCCCAAGGAAGAGAAGAAGGATGACAAGAAAGACGCTCTTCCTTCTCTGCCGAAAACATGTCAGAGATGTGATGTTTGGTACGTCGTTAGTGATGATTATTTCGGCCACTGTAACATTCTATGATCACTTCACATGGGCCGACTTCTGTGAATCTTTATCAGAAATGACGCATCCATGCTACCATATTCTTTTGAGTCAGTAAGCTAGAGCAAGAGTTTAATGCTCTAGTTGTCGCCAAATTCTTTAGTTATGATATTAATATGTTGTTTAAAGTCTTTCCTGTTTTCAAAAGTTTCAATATTGGACCAATTAAGTGATATGCTTTGGAGATAATTTGGGTGGCTATAATCCGCTTAGCCTCAACCTTTCACTGTAACTTGCTTGTTTCATTTCATATCTCCTGCTCTCTTCTTCCTTATGGCAGATACTGAGAGGGGGATTGAGTTGTCCAATATTTTGTCGTAGGGACGTTATGGACAAGGTTTTAGTTTCCGCTCGGATTTTGCTTGTCTTGCATTACGAACGTCTTTTTCTTGCTGTCTCACACAAGATGGTTTCCAGAATGCGACTGAACCTGTCTGCTTTATTCTTTGCTCTCATTCTTTGCCTTCTAATTTCTGTTTTTATTTGGAACACTTTGTGGCAAAAGTAAAGGTCGCCGGTTTCTGCGAATAACCCTTCTTTATATTTGCAAGGTAACTAATTCAACAGGCCTAGCCTTTTCTTTTAGCCCCAAAGAAGAAGGGAAAAAATAATTTTGGTTGGTGAGATTGGCAAGGATGGAATCCGCAACATTGGTTGCGCTACCAGAATTGCATGCAACATGTCCAAGATGATTCTGTATTCATCTTGGTAAAAGATAAATCATATATTGTATTGCAACAATATAATAGGTTTTGAAACTTCTAACTCTTTTTGGTGAAGTAAGTTTTCAATCCAAAGCCTCCAACTTCGAGCTTCACATACAAAAAGAAGAAGCTGCGATCTTCAAATACTTTTGAAGTCGAGTACTCGGAATACTTTTGAAGTGAAATCTAAAGCCAGAAATCTGAGATCCATCAAATAGTAAATTTGAGCTAAAACGACTATTCTAAAAGATGTTGCCAAATATCACCATAAAACACATTTATAAGCACCTCTCCAACCCAAGAAATCTTCACAAATCTTCTCTTTTAAATAATCATGGTGAAGGTAGTACTAGTATTGTAGCCAACTCATGTTGGCTTACTTAGCAGTTAGCAAGGATGTACTAAAAAAAATCATATTTTCAAATCTGTTATGGATGTAATGATTGGTTTAAAGGGGGCAATACGAGAGTACAATGTAAATTACCGATGCTTTTGAGGATCACAGGAGTCACCACGATACTTTTGAGGATCTATACGAGCGAGTCTGATGACTAATGTCGAAATCATCCAAACTTTTTATTATAAAAAAATAAAATAAAAATAAGAGTTTATCAAAGAGTATAGAGTAAAATCAACTGATGCTACGTGTAATCAATGCTTACATGCCATCCCTCCCTGTTAAAGGCCACATCGGAAGTTGACAGATCAGGATTCTTATACAACGAATAATTGGAAATTAATTTCCCTCACGCTCTCAAACTTTTATTTCAAAAATTGAATCGGCTTTTGCGATAGGGATTCGTTCAAAAAAGCAATATAAAATAGAAAACACGTATTCCATATTGAAAAATCCACTCCTGTCTTCCATATAGAAAACGCGTATGTTTAATTTGAGGAGCGTATTCCATACAATGAGTCTATTGTACCTCAAAATTTTATATTGCGATAGGGATTCGTTCCTTTTGACGAAAAACACGTTTTGCCCATTGTGAAAGCATATGTTACTTTATTTATATTATGTTTTCATTTTCAACTGTTTTGTTTTTATAGGAAAACAATTTGGGTGAGTTCAACACCAGTCACCACCACGGATCAAAATAATACACTATCAACACAACTCTCACATCAGCATGTGAAAAAGTGACTCATTCTTACCGGTTGAACCAACTTGTGTCGGCAATTTCACAGTTCGTATGCTACAGGTTTTCAAACTACTTTTGTTACATTTTTTTTTTTTCTAAATAGCAATGCCGGAGCTAAAATTTATAGAATAGTCATAAAAACTTCATAACAGTTTAGGTTTTTTGTCACATTCCAAAATTCTGAGGAATACACTCCTGTCTTGAAATTACCCCCCTATATTTGAAAAATCCCTATCCTTGTCCCTCCAAATAACCAATAACTTCATGGTAAACTTATTTCTAAACCAATTAAACAAAAAATTTTAATACTACTTGAATAAGTAACAAATTCAGAAAATTTAAAAAATAACTGAAAATAAATACACAATTTTAGATCAAATATCTCATTGCAAAATAATTTTATGAGCTATAAGGTTTTGGCTCCGCCGCTATAGGTGATCAAACACACGTTAATTTTCAAAGAACTCTGTTGTAACATCAAACTACGTACACATTCACATAGCTTTGCAAGTCTGACAGTTAACCCCATTTTTTTTTATCTTTTCTGTGTGATATGGTTGCAAATTTATCAAAACAAATGCTTTTAAAAATAATACTCTAGAGAACTAAATCTTATATGAATTGCCTCCAAGAAATGAAAACTACGCTAAATACATTCCCATAAATTTGATTAACATCCAAATGTACAAAAACAAACATTTCTCAAACAAATGATGCTGCCGTAGCAGTTCCAGGATTAATAGGTTAATCCCAGCCATGCTCATCATCATCGTCATTAAGAATTTTATAATATGACAAGAACAGTGACAGAAGTTGGAACCTGGTGTTCGGTTATATTCAGATTTTTTTCTTTAAAATATTTTTTTATAGTATAAGTGGGGAGGGTTCAAATCCAAAACATCTCACTCATACTTCCTAATTTTTTTTGGGTAGAATTTATCCACCTCTTCCCTAATTATTTTATTTATAGATTGGGTCTCTTCTATTCTAATCGCTTTTATCTTTTCAATTAATCTAAATTATTTTTTCATATGGTTTCTCCTCTTCTAATATTATTTACCTTTGTTAATAAATTTGTGTAATTTGGTTTATAAATATGGATTAACTTTATAATGTTATTTTAATTTTTATATCACTAAACTATTTTTTTCATAGAAAACTGAATATTTGTTTATGAGGAATGAATTGTTGTATCTTCTGTATTTAATTTAGTTTTTTTAATGTAAGTGGGAGGTCTCAAACCTGGACCCACCCAACCCATCCCTCCCTCGTACCGTATTTAATTTATTACAAATATGTAGTTCTAGATTTATGGTCATTATAATAAATTTCAACTGTCAAAGAATGTCTATCAAATTTTCAATATGCATTGTAGTATTTGATGAATATTCATACATTATAGCAAAAGTACGTAGAGAAGTTTTTAAAAATTAGTAGAGTAGTTAAATACTTACAAAACATTAATTTTTAAAACTAATATTAATAAATATTGTTGGTTTTTTAGAAAAAAAAAAAATCAACAATCGCATCAAATCAATACGTGACCGATTTTTTCTTTTTCGGCCAATAATATAAGGAACTATCCAAGATGGGGGGTTTGGTTTATGTCATCTTTTGAGTTACCTATTTTACCCTTATTTGGATGGGTAAAATAGTACCATCATACAAGTCTACGTATAAAGAGAATACATATCTGCATATAGCTACCCTTGCCCACGTTCATCCTTCCAGTATTGTAACGAATTGTGAATGCTTGACACAAAGATCAAAAAACGGACCAAATAACAAATCAATAGTAGTAAACTAGAGCACACGAAAGCCAAACAAAGCAATTCAAAAGATCCACAAAGTTAGTAATTTACAATTTTTTACTCGTACAGTAATCGTACTGCGTGGTGCTGTTTGCACTTAACTGTTATCCAGTTTCAAGAGGCAAGCCTGCAAGATATTATCACAATAATTTCTCACCTTTTTTTTGGTATAATTCCTCGCCCTTGCTTTTTTTTTTTTTCGAAACGATAATTTGTATTGCTTATATAAAAAATATGTACAACCTGAGCAAAGGCTCAAGGATACTTTACAAGTTGTGCAACTTAGCACAATGGAACTGGATAAGTCCATTCCACATCTTGATTCTACTCAAAGCTTGAGCACTAATTATGTAGCTTAGATCCGTATTTTCTATTCCTACCAACCAAAAGGAGCACATTCGATACAAGATACTCAGTGCTTGTATATCTTCCAACAACGTAGCCACCCAGCTGTGATTTTTTAATATCTTCCAGCTGTTGAATGTTTATTAATAAATATTCCAGCTGTTGAATGGATTTTTTAATAAATCAACTGTTGAATGGATTTTTTAATAAATATTGTTGAGTGCAATGTGTTCCATCCCCTATTGTCTTCGTCTTGCTTCAATAACTGATGACCACCATTTTTTGAAGTTGCAAGTTGATGCCATGATTCCGTCTTATTGAATGGGCGCTAGTTTCCAAATCTCTTTAGCCCTGTCACATTCAAAAAATATATGTTCCACTGTTTCCATCCTTTCCCCACAACCTTTATAGTAGGGGTCTCCCTTATGTGTTCTTCTCCATATTAGTTCATTCACTGGTAGTCCCTCACTTAAGCACTTCCACACAAACACTTTCAGTTTGTGCTTGACTAGCACTTTCCACAGTACTTTCCATATAGGAGACTTGGGATTGGTATAGCTTGTGCTGTCTACTTGCTGTTCACCTTTGGTTTTGTTCTGTTTTTTCCTCCATATTCTCCTGTTACCTGACTGCACAATGTATTCTTCATTTTTATTATCTGGCCAGAAGGTACTATCCTCTTTGTCAACCATACTAATTGGAATACTTAGGATATCTTCAGCTTCCTTCTCCTTAAAGAGCCTGTATATTAGAGGCCTGTTCCACCTATGCCCAGTTATCAAGCCCACCACCTTCTGCAGAGTGCAGCCTGGTGGTTTTTTGGTTATTGGTTGGCCTTGATTGCAGTTAGGAATTCATCTATCTTTCCCGATTTTGGTGCTTCTTCCAGTTCCTATTCTCCTTCTGATTCCATCATCCAGCTCATTTCTCACTCCAATTACACGTTGCCAAAACCATGAAGCATTTTTTGGTACCTTGCACTCCATTATGGACCCTTCTGGATAATATTTGGGTTTTAGAACTTCTGGAGGTTGGGTTTGGTGATGAATCTCCACAGCTGCTCTGCAAGTCTTTAAATCCCAATCCTTCTTCCAGTTTTTCTTTTGTCATGTTCTTCTAGGAGACTAGCTGCATTTTGCTTTTCCTATCTATCTTACCCCACCAGAATTTTGCCATTAGTGCACTAATGTCCTTGCATAGCCTATTTGACAGTTTGAAGCAAGATATAGTATACGTTGGCATTGCCATTGACATTGCTTTCAATAATACCTCTTTTCCTGCTGAACTCAACCTCTTGCTCTTCCAGTTCATCATCCTGTTGCTAATGTTATTCTTGATGAATCCAAACAGCTGATCTTTGGATCCGGAAATGACCATAGGAAGTCCTAAATATTTCCCTTGTGACACTGGTTTAATA